TTATGCCATAAAAAAAAGACACAGACTTCCAATCCTACAAGCTAGATTTACCAGGATAGAATGAGATATTCAACGGAGTAGCGTCCCTCTAAGCTAAAAACCTAAAGCAGATAAATGATACTATCAAACAAACCAGTGGCTTACTGTAGCGTATAACGTGCCGCATAGGAGAGGAAAGAATGTTAAGAATGTTACATCACTCGCTTCAATGTCTAGTTCTAAACCATCTATATTTGTATGCCTCTTTAAGATTGGCATTGCAAAAATGTCATCTCACGTATTTCTTATTTACGTCTCAGGTGACAAATCCCTGATTACACGTCACGCTACGTCACAATCATGGTATTACAATGTCATACTTGATTCTATGATAAATTTGACAAATCAGGTCTTTCAGATGGAGAAGCTTTGTGCTATCAACAATGGGGATTACAATGGTCGCACCTTGAGTTTTTGAAGATATCACGGGCATATTCAAGTGGAGAAAATTTACTAATGCAGGAAGCTATCTTAGATCGTGGTTTCAAGAATTTGCGACAATGTCATAAAACGTCCTTCATTGTCTGCTACTTACTTGATCAATTAATTATGCAATGATATGAAATAGTTCTTATAAAAACCAAGATGTTTAATAACACACTATGAATAAACTTAACCCTACAACTGACATTAAAAAATCACAAAAGCAAATCATGGTACTAAAGAGCACACCATTTCTCATTTGTTCGGTTTTTCTAAGTCTTTTATTCATTAACCTCTACCTTAATAAGGTTATCAACTCTAGGGTGACCCTGCGTTATCTCGGCGGCGCCTTTGTGTACGTGCCCCGATTTCTCTTCTTAATGTTTCTCGGAATTATTTGCTGAAACAATAGCACGCTTCATATTTGTGATGCATACCAACTTAAAAGTGCAGTCCCCACCACAGACACATTCCCAACTCTAGCAACTCAAGATTAAAGAACAATTTACCTTGTCATCCGTCAAATCAAATGCCGTTTGACTGTTTGTTTGTCTGTAAACGTTTACGAAACTGCGGTGTCTTTGAGATTAAACTCTCGTTTGATAATTGCCAGCCAACAAAGCGCCAAGATTTGTGATTATGGACAGTTTACAAGGTTTATTTTTTAATGGCACCTCGTGTGTGATTGAGGTTAATTTCACAAACTTGATGCTTGCTAATAAAACATGGATTGTTTGAAAAAAAAAGGCTAATATTACAATGTTTCTGGTGCTTTAGCCTCATAAACCCGCAACTATTTGTCTTGTACAAACTAGGTCTTTGGTATAAATCCTAAATATTTTACTTCTAGATTCATAAAGATAAATTATGCCTGATAAGTATTTTGCCTACTTTTTAATTCAACATGAAAGCCTCGCTGAACAAACAGACTAGCCAGTAGATTTCGAGATTAGTCACCCTGCCAAGCTTGGCAAACAAATTACGAAACGGAATAATGTCCAGAGAGACAAACATCAAACAATTGCCACGAGCAAAAGTCACGCCAACAAAGGTTATCAAGACTTGGCGCGACTTGGCTGAACTTGGCAAACAGTGTAGTGAATAATAGAGTAAACAGTAAAGCGGTGTCGTGACCGCTTGGCAAATATTGACGGTTATACCTGGCACGAATTTTACCCTTTGATTGATCGCGGACTGTGGTTAAAGTTGGCTGTTTGGTCATTTAGAGTCGCATGACGCGGTTCGAGGGTTGACCGTCTCTTGATTTTACGTAGAACTGCAGTTGATTGTAATGATACGCATTTTTTATTTACAGTTTGTTTGTGTTCTGTGCCATATGCTGTTAAGTAAGTATTAAATGTGCAGACACATTCTTACTTCAGGCTTAGAAGTTTTCATTTAATGAACACAAGTTGTTTATTAAATTATAACCATAGTCGAATAATTTGGTCTTTTAATGTAACGTTGTCTTAGTTTAGTTTGAATTCTAATGCTAAAAGTTTGCATATAAAAAAACTATCTGTAGGTTATGCTCATTATTGGTGGTTTCAATTCCCTTATCTATAGGTTTACCAGGAAAAATTGAAGTCAGCACATCTTGAGATTCGTAGAAAAACAGTCAGTAAATACATTACAAAACTTAAATAGTTTTCTTCGGCCTATTATTCTTGACTGCCTTTTCTAAACTCTCTGTCTAAACATAAGAATATCGTAAATCGAAAAGTGATGTTAAAGCAAGATGTTTTATTGGAACCAGCCACACGATCCGTTGGTTAACATAACTGGCTGTTATCTACCCAGCTATGTTTGCTAACCAGGGTACACATGTCCAAATCGGATTTACAACACCCATACAACTGTGTGGGTCGTTGGAGAGTCAGCAACAATCTTGAGTTTGTTGGGCATTTTATTTTATTTATTTACTAGCTTTTACCCGCGGCTTCGCTCGCATCACAAAACCGATACCAATACCAATACACACAGCGCCATCTATACTAATACTTTTGTTTTACCTCGGAAATATCAATTTTTTTCCGGGATGAAAAGTACCCTATTATTTAATCCGGACTTCTAACTTTACGTCTGCAAAAATTCAAAGCAATCGGTTTAGTCGTTACGGCGTGAAAGGGGAACAAACAAACAAACTTACTTTTCGATTTATAATATTATAGTAGGGATTAATTTATTTATTAAACTTTATTGCACATTCAGTGAAATTGGCGGACTTAATGCCGTTAAAAGATATTTGGGCTTTAAAAAACTTATTTTATTTAAATCAAATTAACACATTCTGACAGGTTATACCCAATGCTTTAATGTTGTCATATGTTAATTGCTCTTATCCATCAATGAGAAGTAACAAAATAACTCGTTACCTTCATGAACTCCACCAATGAACAACTGAAAATATTAAATTTTTGTCTAGCGCTATTACTAATTTTAATAACTCTAGCCACAGTAAGAAGTGCTATGGTGATGGAGACATTCTTGGCTTCTCTTTCATGGTTTAATTTATGGGGCTATCATATTTTTGGTCACTAGATGGCGCAAATGTAGCAAACAAATGTCCAATAAAAGAAGCGCTATCAAATTTCGAACGGCCAATGATTTAATAATAGCTAATTCACTATTGGACGAAGAATGAGAGGTTCACACTAGCCCTATCTGGTGAATGGTGAAAATACAGTAGCTATCACTAGAAGTTATTAAGCTAGCTATTTTTGTCTTTTTCTGAATGCTTACCTAATGGGAAATTGTATAGAAGAAAAGTCGAGAAGGCAAAGAAGTTTAGGCAAAAAGTGTTAATTATTTTGTTTATTAAGGAAAAAAATTTTTTACCAAACTTCAAGTTCAATATTTTATCTTATCACGCGACTACTACGGAATTTGTGTTACTGTTTTTAATTAATTCGTTCTGCCAAAAAAGAACTTAGTACTTCTAGATTTATCGTACTACAAACGAATACCTTATACATTTATTTTTTTCCATAACATCAAAGGGGAAAATAACCAAATCACCCAAGTCCGAAGCTCACAACGCGTCACACAAAATGGCTACCGCTCATAAAGTTATAAACAAACTAATAACACGACACTAATTCTCTATCCGTACCTTATCTAGACCAAATTTGTTCGACACAAAAATTACAAGCATCATAACATGGCCGTTTAAACTGTCGATAGAGGATATCGACGCCGCTATCTTACCTTTGTGGCACCGCCAAAATCAAAGTCATAAAACAACGTAATTTTGCCATTGATACCAGTTGACGTTCACTGATAAGATAGTGTCAACCCCAAATCTGAAGCCGTGGGATTTAGGAACCAAATGTTATTGAAGTTTCTACTTGTTATTAAATGTCGGGTATTAGTTTTAGGTCATTTTATGTGGCCTGTACTGCAATATAGATAGTTATGTATGAGTTTGACGGCGTTTTATTTATGTTCTTGATTATTTTTTGTTGTTTTGGCAAATGAATAACTGTGTAATCGATTCTTTGGTTCAGTGATATTAAATCGATGATATGATTAACTCGATCTAGCTGTCTTTACTCGATAAAACAGTGAATTTTGATAACGTAACAATCCATTAGATAACTTCTTGCTAGAAAAAAATACACCTTATCACGACAGTTAAAGAACTCTAAATGCATTTCACAAAGCTATCTATACCACTCATAGTTTGTAAACTATTTCTATGATCTATCAAAATAGACTTCAAAATAATCTTACTATCGTAGACGATCCTAAACAAATCCTTGTTCCCTCGATTTGAACTTCAGCCGTGTCTAAGTGATTTACGGTTGCTGGCGAATTTTTATCTTTACACAGAAGATATGATTTATCTGTCTATATTTGGAGAAACACTTGAATTTGAAGATTATTGGCGGTGAACTCAAAAAGGCGGAAAAGTGATATTTCATAATAGGATTAAGTGATCAAGTGACGTAGTGTGACGCTTTGATAGTGAATTTTTAATAATAGTCATCGTCGTCTTTCATGTAAGGTTGTAAAGTTTATGCATTATTTTCAATAACGATTGAGTAAGTTATAGATTTATCTTCTTGTTTAGGTATTTGAATGTTTGTGTTACAAGAATCAACCGATTTGTTTGACGTTTTCCTTATTAGTTGAGCCGACCTCCTTGACAGCGTGATAATCATCATGATTTCTATACTACATCTGTTGGAGTCGTCTCAAGTTTACTGGCTAATCGAGTAGGTAGTCAGGTATAGACTATTCGTATTTCATGCTATAGAAATATATACCTAATAAGGAATGTAAATAGATTTGAGTATCACTCAGTCCAAAGTTGGTGTTATTCAAAATATGTGCATCTTATTTAACACTAGAAAGGCCGCCGTCCCAATTTGTCCCATTTACAAGTTCTTGTGTTAATTAGACAAAAAAGAAAAGAAGTTACCAAAATCTAACAAGGGAGAAAGGACCCAGAGGACATATTGCTTCGACTACACATATGCTAGCAAAAATCGTGAAGAATGAATTTAAAACTGAAGATAGTCTGGTATTATCCTTACCTCTCACAGGGTACGGAGTCTCATGGCTCGGTGGTAGTGGTGATGCAATTCTCGGCTCTGAACGATTGGCCGAAGCACCCCATAGTGACTGGCACAAACCATTCCGTAGGGCTTCACTCGCTGTTACGCCTAGAAAGAAGGAATACTATTAGGATAGCAAACTTGGCAACCTGTTAATTGAGCTGACTGTAAACCGACACATGCGTACTGCCTTCAGAACGGGTCCGCTCAAACTGTTGTGGTTCTTTCCTCAAAAGGCCACTACAGAAAGAACTTGCACGGTTCTCACACATAATCTTTTATACATAATTGTCTGGACTTTAAAAGAGACGGACATCTGAGTTTGTTTCGGCATTTCTTCTCAAAGTAGTCAGTCACGAAATGTCGACATCATCGTTCGCTTGATAAAATTGACGTGTAAAAAGTGCTGCCTTGTAGCCTATTTGCAGAAATAAATTCACTTGTTTCACTTGGCTGCGAGGACTTTATAAAGAGATCTTGTTGCTGGCTGTTATCATCTTCATATCACATACAAAATATCACCTGCGGAACGTAGGCCTTCGCCAGTCACAGTACTGGCCCTGCTGAACATAATCCTCAATGGCTTACAGAGCGCGGTTTTACAAGTAACCTTACGTAATTGCCACGATTGTTATTCCTCGCAGCAGAAGGCAGAGGTTCGCAGAAGATGTTTTATATTAGACAACCATTTTTCATTATTAGACAACCAGAGCCAGCTCTAAGTCTTTATGGCAGAAAAGTTAACTAACTAAGAATTCTTTATTTATATTTTTTGCACACACAATAATCACATATCAGTTATTTAATTCCAATTATAATTTTATTTGTTGTGAAAGGTTGAGCATCGCTGGCGCACCTGTGGTCATAATGTTTGTACCCTGCATTTGCGAAGGTAGGTGCGTGTCCGTCTCACTTGCACATATAGGAAAAATAATTGCTGCTATACTCTTCAATTATCTGTTTGCGATTTAACTCGTCAAGTACCGTCATTATAGACACAATTATAGAACAATAGGTTGCGGTCACCGGTGACCGCTTGGTGTTTGACAGTTTAATATCTAATTACTCTATCTTTCTCATTTTTACACAATACCATAATAGTATCTTATATGTTCTAATGGAAGATTTTTTGGATTTTATTCTGATCATTTATTTTAAGTTTCAACTATTATTTACTAACTTCCTCATCTTTTTAGTTTTTATAACGACATTATACGTACCCTACTTGCTCTGGTTTTATTGATTTTTGTATTCACTGCTTATTTTATTTTTGGACTGCTCAATCTATACTCATTTTATTGTTGTTGTAGCGACGATAGACAGTTTTTTATGATTTTTAAGACTTAGGTACATATGGCTCTGAATGGCCATGTAAACCTGGTAATCTACTACCAAAACGTGCGTGGACTACGGACTAAAACAGATATGTTTTATCGTGAGCTATGTTTAGTTGATTACGATATTATAGTAGTCAAAATTCCTATATTGTGCGAGTGAGTAGAGATTATAATAGATTGTGCAAGGATTTAGGACTTGATCCATTTACCACAAGCAGTTCCAAGGTGCGTAGGCGACAAAACCTTAAATTTTTTGAATGAATATCCATGTTTTATACTATTATGTGCATAGCATTCGCAAAACCTCTGTAAAGATATACTATAGCTAGCCGTGGAAACCTATAATTGGCTTTGTATTAGCATATTCTGATATTTTATTCTTTGTAATATAGCTGTTGGTTACCCAAATTAAAATAAAATAAAATAAATAAATAAATAGTCACGAGCCGAATTAATCAGAGATAATGACTACAATTTTTATAGTAATCTAAAAAATCTTATGGATGAATTTAAAATCGGGGCATAGGCACGATGAGGGTAAACCAGTCAATATTCATTAGTAGGGCACTTCCTCATTACAGTGTCACCGTAATTACACGAACGACAGCTAAGTGACTCACGCGCATCTGCCCGTTCTATGTGGAAATTGATCGTGGAGGAGTTTTATCTAGGAATTCTTGTGTTAAGAGATTTTTGTTAGTCCTGTTTATATAGATACCGTAAAATCTATTACGTTTTCGACCCGAAGTAAAATGGTTTTGTCTTGGAAATACAATAGTTTTACAAAGATATAAAATGTTTATATGAAAAAATAACTGGTGAACCATTGCAAGGAGCAAACGTCAAAAGCGCATATGAACTCATACCTAGTATATTACCAACATCACGCCGTATAATCCTCGAAGAGGTGTTTCTCGTCGGGTGGCACGTGCGATGCGAATAGTGCCTACAAATTTACGTCTTTTTTTTTTTTTTTTTTTTAAGGGGGGAAAATCATCGAATGACTGCCCCCGCCTGGGTGAGGCGGGAGGGAGTGTCAGACTCTTACTGACTAAAAACCACCCCGTTCCTTCTCCTGCACGTCGAGCCGGAGCCCCGGTTACCCGTTAGGTTCTCCGCGACTCCGAATCGGCATCGGCCCTATTGGGCCCCATCTGTGGTGGTCTGATGGCTCTTTGAGGCGCGCGCGGAACGCGACGCGCCGTACGCTCGGGTCTGTTTCTGGTCGGACGGGGAGCCACCCATGCTCGCCGTCCGCAGGCCCGCGCTTACGGTGGCCGGAGATCGTCCCGCGATCCCCGACGCCCGGTGTGTCCTTCGCGATGGCTGGGTTGCGAGGAGGCAGCGCTTCGCTGCCTCACGCGTCCCGCCTCCTCCTTAGCTAGCATGACTGCTTCGCAAAAGGAGGAGACGGCATCCCAATCCCCCTCGCTCCGCATCATGGCCTGCACTAGGCCCGGACGCGAGAGGTCGCCATCGCCGATCACTTCCCTGAGGACACGGCGGTGCTCAGCCCACGAAGGGCATTCTCCCACCGTGTGTTCCACCGTGTCCTCAGGGCGGTCCTCGCAGTGATGACACCCGGGCGTTTCCTCCCGCCCCATCAGACACAGGTACCTCCCGAAACTTCCATGTCCGGTGAGGACCTGCGTCAGGCGGTAGGTGAGGACGCCGTAGCGTCTCTCAAGCCACTCCTCAAAGAGGGGACTTACCGCTGCGATGGCAGCGAGCCCAGCCCTCGGTTGCGACAGTCGTTGCTGCCATTCCGCCATGAGATCGCGCCGGAGCTCATCCCGCCACGCACTTATCTGGCGCGGCAGCGGAGTTTCGCCCCGGCGACGTGCCTCCGCGCGCATGCTGTGCACGCGCGCGAGCACCTTCGCCTCCAGATCCCACGGCGGTAATCCGGCAAGGAGGTTCGCCGACTCCCCAGAGATCGTGCGGTATCCGCGGATCATTCGGATCGCCATGACCCTCTGTGCCATGAGCAGCGTCCGAGCGGGACGCCGCAACAGGTTAGGCGCCCAAACAGGGGCGCCGTAGAGGGCCATGGACCGCACGACCCCGGCGTAACAAATTTACGTCTAGTTGTTCATGTGCGTATCTAAATTATTTTTAAAGTAAAAGAAAAATTACATCTTTAATTTTTTGTTTTACTTTATACATCCAATGTGTCGTGGTGGCTCGGAGGTTTAGGACGCCCGCTTCTCATGTATGAGGGTGCGGGTTCGAAACCTAGCAACGGCAAGTACCAATGTGACTTTTTCCGAGTTATATGTACTTTCTAAGATTATTTAGACACCACTGACAAACGGTGAAGGAAAAACATCGTGAGGAAACCTGGACTTATAATGTGTAATAATAAGTTTGGAATCGCCAATCCGCATTGAGCAAACTTGGTGATTAATGCTCAAACCTTCTTCGTGTGAGAAGAGGCTTTGCTCAGCAGTGGGCATTTATAGGCTGTTGATGATGATGATGATGATGATGATGATCCAAAGTGCTCCTTATGGTAAGTTGTTTTGCCGCGGGACGAAAACGAAATAGATTTCACGGTGTATATTCCTAATAAGTTCTCATTAATAAGTTCTGGTCTTGGAATAAGGTTGTTCCAATGTCTTACTGTCATTGTTTCTGTATGGGTAACCGTTCCATTTTTTTTTGTTTATTGGTAAGTAAAGTGTTAAGCTCAAATAGGGTAGATTCCGAATTTTTAGTTTAATGGCCATCTGGTAGATTATTTTAAATCATTAGACAAGTATTTTTTATTTTCTTACAGAAACGAATATTTTCGACGATATATTGATTTGAAAAGTCGCGTGACGTCACTTCTATGTACGTTTTATACGTAAAAATGACGTTTTAGCCTTCCTCAACTTTGATTCGTTTTATCTAAGTATTGTTTTATTATACGACAAAACAAAAAAATACGTGTCTAATATTTTTTCATTACCTAACTGACGAACTTATTTGATTTTAAATTTTCATACCCTGTCATCATCCCAATTGTCTTATGCAGCAATCGTCTTTTAAAAAACACGTATTTCCCAAATCCGTTTAATCCTTTTCACTATCTATTCATATCCTGCATTTGTATCATTTTGTCTGTCTATCTATAGTGGTACTTATCTAATGAATAATACATCAATCAATCTTAATTAAAGGATTCTAAATATAGAGGAAAAGCAAACATCGTGCGAAGCTTATAAACAAATGTGTTGATCCAGTAGGCGTCGAAGGTGGTAGGGAGCTAAAATTGCGCTTTTATGTTGCTCAAGGAGTATAATATTCCTTTATTCGATAATTCAACTCTTTTAAGTTTTGATTTCTTGTTTGACATTTTCTTTCTTTTGTACGTTTTATGAAATAGACAGCAAAAGGGCAGACAGATCATCTCAAGGTAAGTAGTCAGTGCCGCCTGTACCAGAGGAATTGTGCACACTCGTCCTTTAAAATAATATCTAACTATAAACGTTTTTCAACTAAATCTTACTTTATACCAGTTTACTGTGTGTTTTTATCAAAAACTAAAGCCGAATAATATTCCGAATAATATAACATGTCATGAATGCATTTTCTCAATGTTTGTTTTGATACAAGTCTTATTACCCGCAACGAAAGTGATTCATGCAGATAGGTGCAGTCGTTTTGTATTAATGCGCTAACATATCTCATTATCCGGTGATTGACGTTTGTAAATCTTCATGTAAGTCCATGGATCGTCATATTTCCTTTACTGTTCCTTCTTATTTTTTCCTATGTCTAACTTGA